AGTCAACAAGGTCTGAACCAGGGCCCTATTGGCAGAGACAGAGTGCAGGGGACTGAGATGAGAAATCCTTGATGAGCAGCGATATCTTCAAGGAGCCTTGAACTTAGCAACTCGCAGCAGAGACTGACTTGCCTCTTACTGGCTGCTGTCTCTCTAGGCAAGTTATCTTACTTTTCTGCGCCTTCATTCCTTCATCTGAAAAAACAGAAATATCATCTATTTTTACAGGATTATTGAGAAGATTAAATGAGATAATGTATGTCAAGATCCTATTAAAACCTGGCATAAAGTAGGCAGTCAACAAATATGAGTTTCCTTCTCACCCTCTCCCCATTCTCCCCTTAAGATTTATTTTTCTGTCTCCTCTGGTAGATTATAAGCTCCTGGAAGGCAGAGACCATTTCTTTTCTTTTCTTTTTTTTTAAAAAAAAATATATTTTTTTTATTGATTTCAGAGAGGAAGGGAGAGGGAGAGAGAGACAGAAACATCAATGATGAGAGAGAATCACTGATTGGCTGCCTCCTGCATGCCCCCTACTGGGGATCAAACCTAAACTCAGGCATGTGCCCTTGACCAGAATTGAACCCGGGACCCTTCAGTCTGCAGGCCAACACTTTATCCACTGAGCCAAACCGGCTAAGGTCAGAGACCATTTCTCATTGCTGTATCCCCTCAGCACTGAACATAAAGTATGTTCAATAGATGTTTATAGGATGAATAAAGGGTCATTAGCTCCACGATGTAAGGAAATCCTGTTTCTGTAGGCACAAGCTGATCCTGGCCCTCAGATCAGCTTCCTTAAGATAGGAGTGGTCTGATCACAGATGGGAGAGTGAGCAATGTCATCCATCAACACTACCCTGAAAAAACACCTGAGAGCGAGCCTACCTCCTGCTGAGTGCGAATAAGCAGCATCATTAGCTAGATGTCCTTTGTCCTATGAAGAAGGAACCAGTGTGTGATTGCCTTCCACCCATTTGGCCTACTCAGGGTGACAGAGGCAGAAATGATGCTTTTAAGAAGCAGTGAGGCACTCTGCAGCTCTCATGTGCTTCCTTGTCAGCTGCACTGCTGTCAACGTTCCTTTGTGTAAGGCAGGCATCGACAGGGTTTCGTTTCCTCGTGGCGCCCATCCAGGTTTCCCTTAGTCCTGGATCAACCGCGATGGCCTCTGAGCTAGGTGAAGGCTTAGGAATCTCAGACCCCATATATCATCTGGTCACTGCGCTCTGTCTCCTCAGGCCCCTATTTTAAAGGCAGGGTCTATTACTATCTGGGGGAATGCAGGCTTTCTTGATACTATTCCACCGCCTTTACTAAGGACAGTGATGCGACAGGAGGAGTGAATGTCTGAAATAATTCACACCAAGATGCCTTTGCTAAGGAAGATCACTAAAATACCATGTTGATGGAGGTTCTTATGGGGAGCTGGAGTGGCACTACACAAACGCACAGCCTATCTAAGCATCTGCCCTTCCCATACCTCAGCTTCAAGCAAACAAAGTCAGCTTGATTCAGAATGAAATCCAAACCACATGTACCCCACCCAAGGCAATCTCATTCATTCTTGCCAATTAAAAAAAAAAAAAAGATACAGTTGAGCTGGCTTTCCCTCAGCTCCAAAACAGACTGGACTACACCCTCCCCCCACCCTCCTCCTAGAGAAGAATGGCTCCAGCTACAATTTGTATCACTGTGTGTTCACGCAGCTTGCAAAACTCCCAATACCCCGGAGATTGCAGAAGTAATTTGTACCCTGAACTTGGACCTGGGGGCTTGCAGCACAATTAAATGTGTACCAGGGTAGACAAGTCAGCCAGAATCTCTCTGAGTGCATGTTTGCTTTACTCCTCTTTGGGAAGAAGGGGGTGGGGGATGTCGGGTAGATGTGACTATTGGCACATTTGAGGCTTCAACAAAGTCAGGCTACATTGAACAGTTCGTGCAATTACAGGCACATTCCCCAACCCAAGATACTGTTCTGTGAACCTCCCACTTTACACACACAGAATTCTGCTCTGTCATTCCATCTGCAGTTTCTGCTGCAGCCCTTCCTGCCACCCTTCCTACAGATTTCTTTAGAAGCAGGTGGAGAGGGAGGTGGAGGGAGCCTAGAGGGTGGTGGCAGATGAAGAAAGGGTTGAGGGGAAGAGTCTGTACCAAAAAGCAGCCTCTCTTGGGGGAGAGGGGGTGGGATACATTTTTGCATTACCTAGGGAAGGCAGATGGGGGAGAAATAGTTACACAGGAGGAGAAGGGAACTAAATAAAGAGCACCAACGACCCCTGAGGGCAAAGCACAGGCTCTCTGCGGCACTCACTCAGGCTGCCCAGCTGTCGGATGACATTTGCCAGGGTGATGTTGGTCACGCATTCCAGCTCGCTTCTAACACTAGGCAACGTCTGACGGCACAGGTGCCTTGGCTCGATGTTCCTCGTTACTAACGGCATGGTGGACCTGCTTCAGGCAATGTTCTGAATGATGAAAAACAACCTAAAAAAGAAATAACAGGAAAGTATTACTCAACCACAAATTCCAGGCACACTAGGGCAGTGTAAGTCTTTTTGTCTTGCTCTGATCTAAAACAGCTTTAAAAAATCTTCTCTCTCCCTATCTTTTTTTTTTTTTTTTTAAGAATCCCCCCCCCTCCCTTGCCCTAACCGGTTTGGCTCAGTGGATAGAGCGTCAGCTTGCGGACTCAAGGGTCCCAGGTTCGATTCCAGTCAAGGGCATGTACCTTGGTTGCGGGCACATCTCCAGTGGGGAGTGTGCAGGAGGCAGCTGATCGATGTTTCTCTCTCATCGATGTTTCTAACTCTCTATCCCTCTCCCTTCCTCTCTGTAAAAAATCAATTAAAAAAATATATATATAAAAGAATCCCCTCAATACCTCCCCCAACCACCACCTTTTTAAGGTTTGGTACAGGATTGCTGGGTAAGTGCAGAGATTCTGCACTGGTGACTGCTGGCTGGGTACTACAGACAGCATTAAAAAAAAAACTAAAAACCTAAAACAACTATGCTCTAACCAACAAGAATCTCCAGAGGCAAGGAGTTATGGTCAGAAAACAGCCTATTTAGCAGATCCTAGAAGGTACAGATCCTATTCTTGGGGTGTCCAGGGTAGATCAGATTCCAGATGATCAATAAGGATCAAAAAAGAGCTTTTGTCATCTGATAATCTCATCTCCACAATGAAATTAAGTTACCAATAGTGATTCCATGGATCTACATCAGGACATAATTTCTCCAGTTCTTCCCTGATGAACGACTGTTAATGTACAACTAAATACTAGCTGCCAGTATCTATTAGCACTGCTAAAGTTCAGTCTGTAAATTGACAGAAAGAATATTAAGGAAAAATTTACATGTTCAATATGTCAAACATGATGCCGAGCAAACTGTGCTTTAAGATTCCCTAGTCCTTTTCCTTCTACCCAACAGTTCCCTTTCTCTCTCCCATCTGGTTCAACACACCTGGGCCAAAGGCTCTTGAGACAGCAGGAAGTGTCTGGAGCAGATCTGGAAACCTTCCAGTTACTGTTTCTTATCCTGTCGGCTGAGCGCCTTTCCCTAGGAAATCCCCCAGCACTTCAGGTTCATTTTGAGCTATTGTTTCAGAGTTAGATTACCACATTCCTAGCTTTACAAGGATAGAAGCAGGTTTTAGTCTCAACAAAATGGATATGACTACAGCCATGGCACACTATTTCCCTATTTTGTACAACTAAAGCTATCCAAAACAGCCTAATGATTTTCATGCTAGGGAAAATGGCAGATTCACTTTAAGTAAAAAGGCGAAACATAAAGGCAACATACCCAAGTCCCCAATACTGCAAACTTCTTTTAAACAACAACAAAAAAAGTAAAATAGAGGTTTACTTACATCAAATCTTATAACACCAGTTCATCACCAAAAAGTTGAGTGTGAATACAAAATGTTTAAACCAAACTAAATATCATAGATCTTAAAAGTGAACCAGCATATTGTCCAACCAAAAGTTAAAAAAAAATGTAAAAGCCCTTCAGGCTCAAAGGGGGAGTAGAACCCTTTGGAACAGACTGCTCCTTGTTATGGACATTCTGATCTGCTAAGAGTAAAAATAAAACAGGAAGCCAGCAGCTTGGGGAACAAGGTTTCCTGTCACCAACAGCAACAGCCCAAGAACCAAGAGAATCAGCTGTTTGCTCATAACTCTGAAACTCCCTTTAATAGGCACTGTGTGGCAGCTGTGCCTATCTTTGGGGTGCAGAGGTGTTTCCTGAATATTTGTCTACTGTCTAAGGAAATAATTTTCATTCCGCTCCTCTGCAAAGTTCCCCTTTGACTCAGTAGGTTTTCTAACCCTAACTCTGGACTTTCCTTCTAGTCTAATTCTTCTCCTCTTTTATTTAATGAAAAGGACACTGGGTACTAAGATGCAATCTTTAGTAATTCATGGTGTAAAGAAAGTTTAGAACAGCAAAGGAGGCAGGAGGTTACAAATAAAAGAACCTCTCAGGGCTCAGTACACCATCCTCAGGATGCCCTTAGACTTCCATATTTCAAGCTTTCTGAAAGAACCAGAAATTCAAAGGTGTAGTCAGAGATGATTGAAAACAGCCACTGTGGTTCCCTCCATTAGCAATAATTTCAGTCTTGTTCCAGCTTCTCAGAGGAGCTAAAAGAGCCAGATCTCCTTGAAATTCTGTGTTGAATGTGGCCATTGACAGGACATTCCAGAAGTTCTCTCTGAACACCTAACAGAAACTGGATTCCAGATGGCTAGGTAAATGCCAGAGTGGGGAGCAGGGGGTGAGGGGCAACTTCTAAGGCCTTGGTACTTTAGCATTTATGTTTTCCCAAGTGCTTTGGGTAAGCAGACACAAATGGAGTCAATTCTGTCACCTGGGTTGGATTTACCTAAAACCAAATTTTCAATACCAAGATGGCTTCCTCTTGCCAAAAATGCCAGTTCCTATAACTAGCTAAAGAGTACTCAAAAAATGACAATATGGTGTGCGCTTTGGCAGCACATATACTAAAAGTGGAACGATACAGAGAAAATCAGCATGGCCCCTGCGCAAGGATGACACGCAAATTCATGAAGCGTTTCGTATATAAAAAAAAAGAAATGATAATATGTAAATAACCACCAAGAAAAAACAATTAGAAAAGTATATCTGCTACTTAAAAAGTAATTTAATATGTTTCAGAGCCACCAAAAAGAGACAAGATTCCCTGTTATATGGAACTACCTGCATCACTGCTTACTTTTGTTTTGGATAATCAAGGTTAGTTATGTTTTGCATACAAAGTATGGAATTATTCATGATCTGAACCACAATAATAATTTGACCACGAAAAAAAATCCTACCTTCTGGTGAAGATAAACTTAGAAATGGGCAAAGACTTTTAGGTTCTTGACTCTCAACTCAGTTTCAAGTTGTAGAGTTGAGACATACTGGGTTAGAACACTGACTCTGACACCTGACTAGCTGTGTGATCTTGGGTAATTTTCCTAGAGATAGTAAGTAATATAGCATATGTAAAATGTCCACTACAGGGGTAAAAAATGTAGTTATTTGTAGTTCTACGAACCCTAGGAAAATCTTCCTGGAAAATCAACTTTTTTCATTGATAAGTATTTTAAAACATTTTTATCCTTGGACTTACTATGTAGTAGAATGCAATAGTGACATACATTTAAAGATGAAACCCCAGACTTCAATGAAATTTGGTAGGTTTTTTTTCTGGAGGTGGCTCCGAGCCATGCTTCTGGACCTACTAAAGAACATAACATTCTCTCTCTCCTCCACTCTTTCATACTGGGTTCCTCATCTGAACCACAGAACAAAAAAAAATTATTTGAGTGACTATTTTCTCAATTCTCCTCAAGACTGTACATAACTAGCATCATTCCAGAGGCACTGGATAAAGTAATACATTTACATACAATGGATGTCTAATGGTATCAGGGATTAATTCTCTTATGGAAATCCAGCTGAGAAAGGCTCCTCTATCATCAGTTGTCACTTAGTGGAAAATTTTTGAAGCACTGAGTGCTGAGGAACTACTGAATTAAGGAAGTTACCACGATCAAATTTGCATTTTAGACAAATGATTCTAACAGAAGCAAAGAATTTATATTTGGGCACGAGAAGGCTGGAGGGTAAGAAGACCAGTTGGGAAACTCTTCACAGGCTAAGAAGGAGACAATAGAAATCACAGACAGGTTACAGGGGTGAGTTCTGCTACCAAAACTCCTGGTAGTTTTGTACAATTAGACTCACAAAGTGATAAAATGTAGGTTTGTTTTTTAAAAGTTTCATGGAAAGAGCTAAATGCTAGTGCCAGTTACAGAAATGAAGAGAAAGTGAAGAAAACTAAGAAAGTAGTGATTCTTAGCTCAGAAAAGAAGTTTTAAATATATGAAAGAGTATAGAATGCCATGTTTTTATAGATTCAATAAAGTTCTTTTTTAGCTGTACTTTGATTAAGAAAAGTATATGCTGCCCTAACCGGTTTGGCTCAGTGGATGGAGCGTCGGCCTGCGGACTGAAAGGTCCCAGGTTCGATCCGGTCAAGGGCATGTACCTTGGTTGTGGGCACATCCCCAGTAGGAGGTGTGCAGGAGGCAGCTGATCGATGTTTCTCTCTCATCGATGTTTCTAACTCTCTATCCCTCTCCCTTCCTCTCTGTAAAAAATCAATAAACTATATTAAAAAGAAAAGTAAAGTATATGCTATAGTGATATTTGCTAATTTGGGGGTTTGAAGTGGTCTTACCTTGGGGGTTGTTACATGGGAAAGGAACTAAATTAGAACCACTGAGAAGATAAAAGTTACAGAGAAAGATTTCAATTCAGTTAGCTCTTTTAATTAGAGCTATTCTCTCTTTAAAATTATGAGTCCCCAGACCATCCTCTGGGTGACCAGCTGTCAGGCATTTTAGGGGAGACATTCCTAGATGTTGATGCTGACAGGTCAGAATGAATGACTTCACAATGCCTTCTAAATTAAAGATAATTCTCGCTCTGTGCTACCGTTTCCTCATCTGCAAAATAAAGGGACTAAGCTAGATGACCTTTCAGAAGCTCTGAGTTTGCTTCTGCCTAACCTGCCATAACCTCCTCATGAAGCAAAGTCAGAGGCAGGTTTAGGTGAATCATGGCCATGAATCAAGCCCTTCTCCAGTCTAGATTCATCTAGTTACCAGAACCTGCAGGATCCAGAATGGCCCAAAGGATGGTTCACACAGATCTGGTCCCGAGGTTCAATTATTTACACCCTGGGAGGCTCCCAGACTGATTTGGGAGTTGGCTCCCCATAAAAGTAAAAAAAAAAAATCTTTGGACCAGTTCTAGACATCCAGCCAGGCTCAACAGCAAACCCCATCTGTACGCCTGACTATTTTCAGCCTAAGGGACTCGAGAATGAGAAGAACAAAGAAAAGACTCCAGGCATTCCTTCTTAGCCTGGCCTGGCAGTATACTGACTGGTCTAGACCAGCGATTTTCAACCTTTTTCATTTCACATAAACTAATTACTAAAATTCTGCGGACTGGGGCAGGAGTGGAAGGAGGTGAGAAGTAGGAATTGGTAGGGTGGAAGAAGGTAATAAAGGAAGGCTGCATGTGAGAGGGAGGAGGCATTTGTAACCCATAGAAGACAGATGACTGCTCGTCCCGGCAATAATGTTTATTACTAACTGTTTATTATAAATAAATAAACACTTCATTTAGATAACATTATATTTCTATAGTCGTGTCCAAAAGCAAGTACATCTGAGCTATACCAATAACCATAACAACAGAAATGCCTTTCAAGGCAGTTCCTTTTTGAAATGTACCTCCAAAAAGCTGATCAGCAATAGCAGGGGACGACAACATGTGGGGATGCTGTATGTGGCAATTAGGACTTCTGCTTTCACTTCAGCATTTCCCACTGTTCTATAGTTAACAGCATTTTGGATGGGGGCATATGAGAAGAGCTTTACTTTGTAGACCAGTTTTCTCTTTCAAGAGATAAGATTCTTTATGTTAAAGAATATGCATAAAGAATTTCAATTGAAAAGTCAAATAATCATTTAACTTAAAAATGAGAGCCAGCACACAGGCTTACTGTAATCTAAGTTTATCTACTAAAATGTTTAAAGAAGTATGAATTTACTGTTGAATATAGTTATCCTCACTACCATGCAACAACCACAAGCAGGAATGCCTCATTATAGACTCACACACCCACCCACATCCTGTTGAAATTCAGTGTGGAGCTGAACCTACAAATATAACCAGACTCTCTCCAAACACAAGGTGTTACTGACAAATTAGTTTAGGTCACTAGAGTAATGTGGAAAAGAGTAAGACAGAAATGGAACTCCCAAGGTGGACAGAGAAAGTATCTGATTGGGAGAAACAAGAAAAAAGAGCTTACTTGTGAAACAAGGAGAAATTTCTAATTTCATAAAGGAATACCAGCTATGGACCTACATTCAATAAATGTAAGGCTTCTTCTTATCCTGATTTGGTTGGGGGAAAGCAGCCCAGGAAATAGGACTTCTATATTCTAGTATTTCACTTTTTTTTTTTTTAATTCTCACCTGAGGATGTTTTTCCATCGATTGAGAGTGGAAGGGAGGGATGGTGGAGGAGGGGTAGGGGGGCAGGGAGGGAGGAGGGAGAGAGAGAGGGAGAGAGAGAGAGACATCAACATGAGAAAGATACATCAATTGGCTGCCTCCTCCTTCGGTCTGTAGGTGGATGTTCTAACCATTGAGCAAACAGGCCAGGGCCAATATCTCACTTCTTGAGCGCACTGTATATTTATCAAAGACCATTCACACCTGGTAATTCTGTAATTTCCTATTATCTTTTTTGTGGGAAATACCACCTTTTGTTCTTACTTTTATTATGCTTCAAGCTCTAATCACAGCTTTGCTCTTAAAACTAAAATTTGGGGGGGATCATTTTCCATTCAAAATTGGTTTCTTCTAGCTTCACCTATTCCATAGAAAACTGCCTCTTAAATGGCCAAAATTAGGCTTTCCTCTGAGTAGGATCCATCTGGTTGTCCAAAGGAAAATACACTTAAACTGCGAGTCAGAAACCTGGATTCCAGTCCTTAGTCTAATGATGACTGGCAATTGGGGGGATGGGGTGGGGAGGGGAGTCTCAATTCATCCTCTAGTTCAGCTGTGAGCTGCACTAAAAAAAAAACTCTTAAAAGATGCTATATGAAACTGGGATTTTTGTTTGCAAACTGTTCTGAACTCCAAAGAAAACATTTATTCACATAAAATATTTCTTGTATCTCTATCTTGGCTCAAGTTCCCTGCTATGTATCCACTTAAATTATACAGGGTCTACAGTGTTATCATTGATGACTTTCAGTCACAGACACAGAGTTCATTTATTGTCGCAGTTTAATGCCAATTTCTAGCAATAGCCAATTCATCAAAATGGAATGGTCTGAAATATTCCATACTACCCATCTAAATGGGCTTCCCTTTACTCTGACTAGATAAATATAAATTATAAATGATTTCATTCAGAAATGGAGAAATTTTACCTAACATTTGTGGATACTCAAGTACCAGATTTCTTTGAGCTATAATCATCAATTGAGCATTATAATCACAGAGGAATTTAACATGAAAAACAACTAAGTTGCTTTGAAAAATAAATACCAACATAAAAAAGTATCAAACCTCAACAAATCAGTGCACAGGATTACTAGAAATATGTCAATAACTTGCAATATTGTGATAACAGATACCAATAGTTTTCATTTTTAAGAGCTTCCTTTCTTATTTATATCCAATGACAGAAGAGAGTGAATTCCAGTTGGTGGTGCTCAAAAATCTGAGATAAGAAGATACAAAATGCGTTCTTCTCCAAGTACCTGGGCTTGAGTACCTGGGAGGAAGCCAAACCTGGGCATGTGCAACCATATGGGAAACACACAGTTGTTTTTTATGGAAGATTGTCTAATCCCACTTTACTGCCTTACTCAGAGATGGAGAGGATGGGGCTAGGCTGTAACCTTTCTTTCCTGGTTCCTGCAAGGAGCAGTGAGTACTGCACTAGGTTAAGCTCCCTACAGACAAGGTACTGGAGTACCCA